GTTTAGCTTTTGCTAGTTTTAACTAAAGACACATTGACGTCATTCACGTCGCTTTTGTCGCTTTACTTTGAGGTTCTAATTAAAATTTATCCTTCTTTTGAGGTGTTAATTAAAATTTATTCTTTTTTCTGAATTTCGATATTTTCCGAGTTAATTTATTTCAAACTTCAATTGCACAAAATTTTCCTTTCGCGTATTTTTCTATTTATTTCTTTTCTTTTGACATTTTTTTTTATGGTCAATTTGCAGTTTGAGCCCATATTTCAGAAAAACGAAAAAAAAACAACCACTTCATGTAGCTTTCGGTTTTTAATTAATTTTTTTTCTTTTTCCTTTCGTTTTTTTTTTTTTTTATGAACTCTTTTATTGTATTGATAATTAATTATTTATGCTGGTTATCGTAATGCATACTTCCTTGTAAATTTTAATATTCACAGTCAGCTAATGCTAGTCCTTTTTATTACCCTTGAGGGATAGTCTTCACAATTATTTTTTATTTATCCGTTTTATATTGAGCTCGAAAGCCCGTCCGAACTTCACCAGATGCCAAACAGTTCTCCTCGCTATCCTGAAATTAAAAAGCAGACAGACTTCTCATTCTTACTCAATTTCCCTCTTCTTCTTCCTGTTGCTCTCTCTATAACGGCTTGCCGCTACTCTCACAAGAGCAAGCATAGATCCCGCAAAATCATACGATTTTGCCTATGCTTGCAAAAGCAAAAGGAAAAAAAGGAGTACCGCAAAATCATACGATTTTGCCTGTACTTGTAAACAAGGAAATCAGAGAAGAGTAAGATAAACATATCCCGCAAGATCATACGATTTATTAGCGGTACCACAAAATCGCATGATTTGTCTAACGGCATGCCGTTATTCCGCTCCTTGCGGTTGACACAGACCGTCAGACACCCTACCCAAGGTTTGTTCGCGGCCGTTACAAAGGATAATAAAATAGTATTTCAGTAAATGAAAAATTTAAATTATTTATAATTCATTTTATAAAAGTTTTTACTGGTACTCTTTCAATTACAATGGGTGTAAAGCTATGATTAATATGATAGTAATGTATACGACGAGGAACTGTTCACATTTGCGGAGGCAGCGCGGAAGGAGGGAAATTAGCGTCTTGAAGCCATTAGAGATGCAGATGAAGGCCAGGAAGTTGAAGAAGCTGACAGCGTAGTGCCAGAAATTGAGGGCACTCCGAGAGGTCGTGAGGAAATTAACTCCACACGATAAAATAGTACATCTACACTTCGATGAAGTGTTTACAAACTAAATACACGCCTACCACGGTGCCTCAAGGATGGTGTGGAAAACCGTGATAAGCGAGAATGAATTTTGATGGAAAATGCAAGAAGCCTGTGCGGTTGCAGTTCATGCTTATAATGAACTCGTACTGCACTCGCACGATCAATTCGATTTATTGAACTACTTGATCGTAGTCCGCAATTGTTAAAACTATCATGACTGCCCTCAGTTAGTTGGTCGAGCCATATGGACACTAAGCACCTATTCGTTTCAAATGTTAGGCGAACCGAATGGTTACTCTCCAAAGTCTACAAGTAGGATAAGTCTATTGTTTTAAACATTAGCGGCGTGAGGTTAGTTAGAGCATGAATTAATTGTCTTCATTTGAATTTTTCAATTGAATTCTCCCCCTTTACCCATAGAGCTGTTTACAGATGTGTTAAAACTCATGAAAAACCAAACGATGAGAAACGAGCATTGGTTCAAAATAAATGATCCTGCTTTCTAGAAGGCAATTTGGATTTAGTACCAGGTTCTGTAAAAGTTCTGTTCGTGGGATGTTGTTAGAGGCTTCGACTACAATAATAACGGTATAGTTATTGCAATACGGAAATCCCCTTAACATAGCCTTTAGACTTTGCTTTGCCCTTTCGGCATTTCAGTTCGATCCATCGTTTGCAGTCATTGCTTCAAATAAATTGATTCGTTGATTGACACATACATACATACACACATATCGGACCCATAAGAATTATTTGCTTGTTTCTTCCTTTCTCGACTTTGAAAAGCGATTTAAAAGACTATCACAGTTGAACGGAATAAAATTTCTTCAGCAAGAGAAAGGATGCTCGTGCATTATCTGAAAATATTCTGCCCAAAGTACAATTTAATCGCGGTCTTGTAAATCTAGAGAAGAATTAAGATACTATTCTTTCGTGTTTAATTATTTATTTACTTCTTTTTTTTTTTTCTATACAATTACAATAATAATTACTTAGGGGTTTACATTTTCTCCATAGCAACGGCATGAATGATTTATAATTCAATAATGGACAAGTTTTTACAGATTTGGAAAATATTCATTTCGGCTTTGTATTTAATATATCGAGACATGTTAATACAGAGATATGAAGGTCGGTTGATTATATCAGTTTTAATGTAATGCAATGGTCGAAAGTTAAGATATGAACCTTGTTCTGATATAATATAGTGTTGTGGCATTATTACTATAATATTAATGCAATTTCAGATCTGTTTTATTGTAATAGATGATTAAATTAGTAAATAAAAATGTTAACACAAAATATATATGGAATGGCAGATTTCAAAATATAGATAGTAATTGTATAAGCGATGTACAGATGTACAGGTTGATATTTGTTCAATTCAATTTTCTTTTAACAAAATATACTTTTTTTTTTTTTTTAGTTTCTAATAAGCCATAATAAATATCACTATCAAAATAGAATAAGAAATCAAGAAGCCAGGTGTTCGTTGACTAATAAATCACAAAGCCATTGAAACACAATTACGCCAAGGATAACAAATAACCATAAACAAATCAAATGTGTACACGTTTAATAAGACTTTAGAATTACATAGAGAAGAGAGAGAGAGAGGGAACTTATTAAATCAACTTTTTTCTGTCTTTCTTATACAACAGTGTTAGAAAGTTACAATAAAGCGAAAGAAACAACTAATATCAGATTTGAAAGGAGGACATGCGTAGACGTGTTCGATTGATTTGGGGTGAATGAATGATTCTTGTTGTTAGCACCAAGAGAAAAAGGGACTTTTATTTTGGAAGCGCTGGGTAAATGACCACCGCGTCCGATGACCGTGAGATCTATAAAAAAAAAAAAAAAATTATCAAATTATTCCACATATATTTTATGCACTCTTCTGCATTACCTTTCTACTACAACAGCTGGCATTTGCACTAATTGCACCGGTGATTTACCATCTTTGAGGGCTTGTGTCAAATTTAATATTTGCCCGCGCATCACAGCCATTTGTCGTTCAAATAAGCGTTTATCAAAACCGCGGTCTTGCTGAAACAAATGGAATAAGTCTGTGCAAATCTCTTCGACGTAATTCATGTCTCCTAATTTGGGGAGTACGTGATCTTTGGTTTCATCACTAAATGGCACTTTTGCTTGCGGCAACCAAGCCCAATGATAGGGATAAGCCCGCCATGAATCTGGATGCTTAAATGGAAATGCCAAGCCATTGTCTATGGCGGCTAGCCTGATTGTCGCTGAATCGACAACGTTCCAGTCAGTTGGTTCAGAGGTTCTATCTTCCTGCTTTTCCGATGAGTTATGAACACTTCTCTCGTTCCCAGTTGACGTACATACAGCGGTGGTGGGTATACTGATCAACTCGGCTTCGGTAGTTACCTGCTGCACTATGGTGGGTTGCTCATATTTTATTAGCCAATTATCGTTACCGCGATCGGTATTGCGAATGATATAATCAAGCACTACCAAGCGCTCGAATTGTATTTGAAATGCTTTATCTAAAGCCGGCGCCAACGATTCTTGTTCAAAGCGCCTTAGCCAATAATCAGCATCTTTGTAGCCCTCTACAAACAATTGGAAGGAGCCAGTCTGCGCGATATTGCAATTGCGATTTTTCACAATTAATTTTTAAGAATTTTTTTCCTTCATTATACTAACCTTCAACGGTAAACTCATGCGATTAAATTTTGCAGATGGATAATGGTGTTTAATATGTTTCTTTAATTTGGCCTTTTGTCTGTCAATACGTGCATAATGAAATGTTTCAGCCACCAATTTCACTATACGTGTCTTTGGCACTATATCCAGATTCAGTTTACTATCTACTAAGCTGGCGCCAGCTTCAGAGAGGTATCTAAAAATGATAATAGATGGTTATTATATATTTTTAGTAAGACACGCGAGCGCGTTCTCTCTTATTGTCATAATTAACTTTTTTATTTACCCTTGATTCGGTATTAGACACGCGCGGCCAAAACAGCAAGGACAGCATACCTTGTGAAGGAACTTTGTCCATTTGGGATTGAGACGACCGTATGGCTCTTCATCTTTAGGCTTGAAAACTGCTAAAGTTTTCTATAAATAAATCACAAAAATGTTTCCATTCAAAAAATATTCAATTATTAGTATTAAGTCATAGCCGTACTGGCATATGGTATTTTTTTTTATGTACGATCGACAACCAAAAATTTAACAAATCCAAACTCAATTGTTAAATTTCCCCATATATGATCATTCTTTAAATGGTCTAGGAGCCGCTTATCTAATATAAGTAAAACATTGAAATTTGAAAAAGTTTTACGCTTATTTTTTAAAAGAAAACTCCCTTGTTTTTTTAAGTGCATTTTTTTCTTGCAAATTTGGCATATCGAAATCCGGAAAGTTTAGTTGGCCGACCTTGATTCCTTTTATATATATATATCATACCTTAGTTCTGGTAAGAATGTGTTGGGCTTGTACCCGAAAGCCGGACTTTTATTATATTAACTAATTTCGCGTTCATTCGCGCCGGTCTGTGTATTCAAGTATTTTCGAGATGTTTCGAGTCACTTTCGTGGTACTTTAAGACGATAGTTCCTCTACCTAATTTTGAGTATTTTATGATGAAAATTTCTCTACGGTACGCAATCAAAATCCTCTCTTTTATAAGGGTTTTGGGTGTATTGACTTTGTGCGGTTTTACGCAACGTCCAGAAGGACTTGAGACAGTCGAACGCGTTATTTATTATTTTCTGAATCTCGTCTAAGCTTGTCTGTCCTTGTCTTGTTTTCTTCTGTTCCATCTATGAATCTCAATTTTTGTGATATTTCTCTGCATCAACATGTATGTTTTAGTCCCAGGACGAACGATATTGAAAATGGTTCGGATCGAAGACATTTCCGAAATCTTATGCTGAAAACTCGTAACTGTAGGACCTTTAATTGTGGGCCCTGTCCCAGTATTGTGTATTTTTCACTTATTGCTTATTAAAAAGTATTAAGCCATTGGGAATCAAAGCGGAAAAAAAGAAAAAAAATTTTAAAAGACGGCCTTTCTTGCCTATGGCTTGCCTTAATTCACCGAACTTGAGAAAGACTGAAAACTTAGTGTCTACTTACCCCATTTCTATTTTTAACAAAATAAGAACCACTGCTGCCTTGATATATACGCTCGGGCATTACACCATGTTCGATAGCATATTCCGCTTGGGCCACCATGTCCGTAAAGCTAGGATCATCTATAACACACAAATCATATAACGCATATATATAAGTGAGGGTAAATTGGAAAATAATTTCATTTGCTAAAATAAATTCACTTTTTCACATCATTACATCATACATCATGGCCTTTTTAATCGTTGGTGTGAAAAATTTTAATTTTCAATTGCACTTTAAGACGCTTTTTAAGTACCAGTGTTATTATCTTTTCCATTTTTAATGTAAGTCATTGTGTTCTGCTTTAAAGGAGAAGAAGAAACATGTTTAGGGCAAGTAAGTATTGTATTTACCACACTCTACGATGTCACTTTTCATTTGTTGGTATTTGGTGGAATTTAATTCGTCTGCCGTCTTAGACATTTTTGTGTAATTTTACTTTTTTCAAGTCAATATGGTTTTATTGATTTATTCGTCGGAAATTATTATTCACTTTTTTTTTAATTTTTAAAAAAATTTTTTTCATTTTCTGTATGTATTGCCTTCTCCGAAAATTTTTCGTTTCCTATGCGTTTGAATCGCCTCGATTCTTACTACAAACGCATATGTCATATGCTTTCCTTTCTTTGTTTTATGCATTTTTGTTTAAAGCAGATGCTATTATTTTATTGCCGCAGTTGTGTGTGTCTTCCTCTGTCATTCGCTTATATGTTAGGTTTTTGTGTCTATCTTGTGCAAAATTAGGTTACATTGCCAATTGTATGGTCTTTTAAGAGAAACAAAAACCTATGCACTCGTTGTTGTTATTATGTTCTTAAAAGAAAGGATACAGTAGCCCATATATATATATACAGATATGTATGCCAAGTGTAGTGCGTAAGCGTAAATGCTTGATTTATAGATTGGAAGTGAGCGGAACTGAGGCACAGAAGAATGAAAAACACCTTTAGCCTTATTCTGCATGTAGTAGTCTCTCTCACCGTTAAATCAGGTCTATTCGTATGTCGCAGTATTAGGTTAAACCCTTCATGCGACCAATGTTCCATTTAAAACCACTTTCAAGTTTAGATTCGATTGTTATGCCTTTACTTTCAAAAGGCGCTAAAGTCGCACTTCATTTTTTATGATGAGTGATATTAATTGATATTTAAAGAATAAAAGGGAATTGATTGGTTAAAATTGATATAGTAAAGGAGGTACGACTTGAGCAATGCCCTTTAAAGGGACCGTACAAAAATACACTGACGGTTTGTTTATTTTATATGAATTATGTAGACTGAAATATCCATGTGTGTGTGTGTGCGTGTGTGTGTGTGTGTGCAATCTATTATTATCGCCGCTCTTGAGGAACGGATTCCTATGAACGGATTCCTACGATCATATAGATCAACATAATTGCGTACGTGTGTGCATAGATACCACCGGCCCTGAGGAATGGAAACCGTTGCATTCAAGAAAAATGGAGCTACGGATGTAGTTGCAGCGAATAAAATGAAAGCATTGTTTTTCATTTGTACAAAAAGACACACTTAAGAAACGATCGTAAATTGCTTAAGCGATCTTCGGCTGATTGTTTAGGGACACAGTAATAACGATCCCCGATTGATAAGATCCTTTCCGCGAGTTCGTAATATGCTAATGATATTTGTAAATCTTTGTTTTTTGCCTTTATTACCCCACTTGTACATCTTAGCCTTGTATTTCTCAGCCTCTCTATCTTGTATTTCTCAGCGATATAATCTGTTGCCCTCGCCAATTTAATGCTGCTTTATACTACTTCATTATCCGATAATCAACTCCTTAAGGTACTTAAGGTACCTTGAAACGATCACATTCGCTTTGTGTTTATTGGCCTAGGAAGACATTCTCTTACAATCTTCTTACATCGACTGCCTTTTTGCTTAGATTCGCCTCTTAAGTATTCAGTTAAGAAAGTTAAACCACCCCAAGTGACCTTACGACTGATACTTACGAGTCCCTATGCTCGTAGTAAAAGTAGAATAAGCAATGAGCAATGATCGCACTGTCAGCCAAATATATTTTCCTTTAATTCTTGCGGGGGAGTTAAGCGTATACATGTTAATAAAATGTTATATTATTGTAATAAGGTTTTTATATGCAAAATCTTGTGATTTAAAATTTGTTAAAAAGTTTTAAAATTTGAATACCTTTAAATTCAAAACGTTCATTAAAATCAAATTCACTTTTACTACTGCCACCGAATGAGGGATTAATGTAAAAAACTTTCGCTTCTTTTAAATTGTCTGCTTTAGTCAAAAGCATTTCGGGAACTAAATGGAATAAAATGAAAAAAGTAGATTAAAAATGGAAAAAAAAAAAAAAAATTAGGAAAAGCCATTTTTGCTTCCTTTTCCTCCTCCTCCTCCTCCTCCTCCTAAATTCATTTATGCAAATTTATTTGTAAACCAAGCTAGCATAACTGATAATAAAAAAACACCTACACGAAAACTATAAACCTTGGTCCCATATTTTTTTTTTTCGTTTTTTTTGCTTCTTTTTTTTGTGTTCTTTTCTTCCATAGATAAGTAGAAATGTAAACTTACACGCGTTTTTTAGAGGACAATTAACGCAATGGCACTGCGTTAGGAGAACCTCCATTAAAATTGTACTGGTAAGGGAATATTCCGAGGATAAGCTATTCTTGGCCGCATCGCCTTTTTTTTTCGACTTCTCATCCGCATTGTCCGTCTTTCCATCGTCCGAACCGCTTTCCGACTCATATAAATATTTATCGGGATCACATTTGACTTCATCACATTCACAATATTCCTGATACGAGGGAGTATAGCTCATTGACTTTTTTAAGTAATTCTATCTCTTTTAAGTTTTATAGTTTTTAGGTTATCGCTCCTCTTTTCTAATTGTTTCTGGCCTAAAATTTACGAACTTCTTAATAATTTATACCGGAATTTAATTAGTCTTACAAAGAATTTATAAAACATTACAACAATTAGAGAGATAAAAACAAAACAAAATAAAACACAAGAAACAAATTTAGAATGTAAGCAAAAAAAAAAAAAAAAAAAAAAAAAAAAACGAAAACATAAAAATCTGACAACGAAGCAAAATAATAATAATTAAAAAAAATAGAATTCTTCATAAAAAGAAAAGAAAGACAGGGTTCATCGAAACTTACAAAACTAAATGTTTTCCTTAATGTTTTTTTTTCCCCTTTAAAAGCTTCGAATATCGAATCAAAAAACATATATACTTTTTGCCTATTCATCAACTTTTCTATCTTATTATATAGTTCTTGGTTTTCGCACTCATAAAACCTGGATATAATCGGATCTTATTATTTGTTTTCAAAATTTTTTTTATTGCTTTGAAATATTTTTAATCAAGAAGAGATATTGAATACTGAAAAAATTAAAGAAACATGATGCAACACCCAATGTGCTTAGCCTGTGAAAATTATTCCACTCGTAAGAGCTATATGGATCTTTTGTTTGACCTACACCGTTTTTAATTTTTTGTGCGTACCTGCACTTGAGATCCTATTTCTTCTACCAATCGATTCAGGATCACTTTCCGACTCGGCAAGCTTTTGTATCTATATTGTTTTTGCGTGCTCAACCTACAGGTGGTAATCTTTGAGACGTTTTAATGAAATTTGCATAGCTTAATACCCAACTTTTTTTCACAAGCTCATCAGCTCTCTTGTACACTAGGATATCCATCCGAGAAGATTCTGAATCTAATCTCGCTACCACTTTATAAAACGATGGAGATCTTGCCGATTTTAAAGCTGCGATTAACGCATAGCGTAGCATAGTATTTTAATAATTTTATGCTCGAGAGATCGTTTAAAACATAACAATTGTGTCAGGTTTTGCGCATTTTGCCTGGTTATATAAGTTTTGTCACATAAAGGTCAGTCAGCTCGTTCGTTCTAAATTCTCAAGCGAATCCTGCGTTATGGGCTTTATTTTATATTCTTTTCTTTTTATTTATATATATAAATATTCGCTGGTATGCTCATGAGCACTTTGGGTTTTTTTTTTTTTTTGCTGTTTTTTACATCTCTCTTCGTCTTTTTGTTTGTTTCTTTACTTTGATAGATTTTGAAAATTTTTTAACAGGTTGCCCGTTTTAACAGGAAGTCGATAGGGATTTTTAACAGAAAATGGACGGTTTAACAGAAAGTTCTTCTTTAAGTTATATTTGTCAATCGATACAACTTGCGACTTTTAATCCAATGGTTCAGGGTTCAAGTCCCAACTCGGACGTACATTTTTAAATTTTATTTTTTACTTATTAGGCAAGGAAATCTTTGGATATTCATTCATTCTTGAAATTCTTCATCAATTTTTCTTAAATTAATAATCATGAGATGAATAAATAAAAAATTGTTTTTTTTGTTGGCTCAAGAGATGGTTTGAAACTTTCAGAATGTGACGGAAAAAACTTTATTTTCCTTAATATGGCAAGCTTCCTCGCAAGTGTTCTGTATAGATCGCCCTTTTCAAATAAATTCTTGCTTGGAAGGCACGGCCTTAACGTCTTCCCTATTATGGGTCGTCGTTGGCGCATTGGCGTTTACATTCATATAAAAGCATTTCCCGCATCTATAAAAAGATAAATGAAAGAATTTTTCTTTCTTTAGATTGCAATATGCATTTCATTGTCCTTCCTTCTATTCATGAAAATATTGCCGAAAAATGTTTTTTGAACTTTTACAATAGCGCCTAAATGTGTACGTCATTAAATACATTCACTTAATTGTGATTCAAGTAACAAATAAACAAATATAAAAAATAATTATATTTTCTTTGTGAAAAATTTGTATTATAATCTATTTTTCTCTTAGGTGGTAATACAAGTTACTCCCCCAATATTGAACATAGATTTCATTTACTTAAGCAGATAACCAATCAATCATTCGCGAGATGAATTAATTTCTTCTCTGTTTGAAGTTTACTTTATTTGCCTTCGCAACATAAATTCGGCGAAGATTGCCTACACATTGACTGCAATACATTTTAACAATAATAATGTCTATACACCGCTCTATCGATTTTTATAGTATACGGTTCCCAATCAGCAGAACAAACCCACATGAGAAACGATTTGAAATTATGTTTCAATTTTAAAATTGAAGGGAAAGAAGAATTTTAAAATAAGGGACGGATATAAATATTGGATGGAACTTGACAGAAATTCGTAAAGACGCTGTAAAAAGTTTAAATGTTCCCAAGCATTTATTTTCAGATACGTTGGGAGAGAATTCGATCATTGACAGGAACAAGCATTCGGGCGCGGTTTACGAATCCCAATCAAGATAAGTCGAATGACGCTATATAGACTCCATAAATTTAAGTGTCACAGCCCAAGAAATTGACGTCCTGAAGATGTGATGCGTCATATTTACCAGATACCTTTCGATCCATGGATTAATATCCATAATAATATCCATTCGTTGCGAATTCCAATTACATGGGACGTTTTTGAATTACACATAAGCTAATATTGTTGACGTTGGAAAATGAAAATTTATGCGGGCGTCCAATAAGAAACCCATGTTTGTTTGGTAGTATTTCATAGTTTGTGTAAATATAAATATTTCATTGTTATTCAATACGAAAAATTATCACAACACACATGGCAAATTTTTCACATCAATTTTCGCAACGTCAACGTTTATAAGGTTTCTAAGTCACTCTGCGGTTACATGGTCTAATACACAAGCAAAAAAAAATTATAACTTACCCACAAATGTGTTAAAGGCAGCTTCATATTGATCTCGATTACTAGGTCCAACACCACTTAATAACGGCTGTGATTCGCGATTATCAGTATTATTATCCATAGTGCATTCAAAATCGATCTCAGGCACTAAGCAAATCTCATTACTGTCGCGTGTATTAAGAGAATCCTGACGTAGGTGTGCCGATATTATGTTGTTACTGAAGTGCTGGCGTCGCGGCGAATGTGCCGGACTGCTCTGGTTACTAGTTGATGTTTTACCGCTAACATTATGACTCTCATCTTCTTCTACTTCACTTCTCTCATCGCTCATTGTAGGAGAAGTATTCGATGAGAATGACAAAATATTAGTATTAGTGGTTGTCTTTGTATTATTCTGACCATTGTGTACAGCGGTTGGTTTTGAAGTTGTGTCACCCATGTCGTTATAGACTTCTTCTTCATCGTCATCGGCATCATCATCAACATCATCATTTCCATTTTCGCCATCATCAGCGACTTCGTCTTCGTCTTTTAGAGATAAGAGCATCTGTTCACTTCGTTTACGTTTCTTTGGTTTTTTACGACTTTTTTTACTATGGCCGACCGAATTTATCTGAAAGCATGCCAAACATGATTAAAATAACTCGAACTCTTATCTTTTTAAGAAGTATAAAAAGCCTTTTACCTCAACTGTGTGTAGTTGTTGTATTTGATTTACGGAACTTTGTTCAATGTGATTGAGCAGATCTACGTTCTCCAGTTGCACCAATGGCTGTGATTTAGACATATTTCTTCCTATTCTTCGCTTTGTTGTTTAAGACGAAATTTCTTATAATTAATATTTCACAAATACATTCTGTTCTCTTCTCCGTCCTTTCCTTCCCCGTTTTTACACGAATTCTATATGTGTTTTCGCGTAGTTTTCTGTTTTGACGATTATTGATTTTATTTCCTTGTGTATTCTTTGTTCTTGATTTCACAATTCTTTTGTTTTTGCACTGTGTTTCCTATATTATTACTATGTTTATTATTTAACGATTTATTTAGAATGAACTGTTTCGTGTTGTTTTTTTTTTCTTTCATCAACTTTAATAAAATTGATCAGAAAACGAGGAAAACCAGCCCCCTCCAAAAAATGTATAAGTACTAAAAAATACGAAGCTGTCTTCTGTTATTTTTTTTTTGCTTTTATAATCCCCAAATACATGCTTTATAATACAGTTGTCAGGGAGAAATTAAGTCAGCTGATTAGTGTTGTCATCACTTATTTTTAAAACTTTTCTTGTATGAATGAATAATGAAATCAGAAATATCAAAAATTTTATATATAACATGTAAACTAACGATTCATTTGCGAAGTGTTCTAGATTCAATTTATATATATTAACCAAAAACAGCTGATTGAGAAAAATTTCGTTCACTTTCCAATACTATTTTATAATTCAATGAAGAAGAAATAAAACAGGAATAACTGAATAATATTCCTATCTGGCAAAATTCAATAGTATATTAAAAATGAATGATCCCAACAAAGTAATAAATGTTAATCTTTCGTCTTTGCTAAGTCTAAAAGTCGAATTATTACGCAAACAAGCCGAGGTAAATAAGGCTAAAGCGTTGCAAACGGATGAATGCAAGGGATTGAAGGGAGTTGAGAAAGTTTGCGACGACGATGGTTTGATGCAGAGAAGACGTAATAAAAAGAGAGTTGAGAAAGTGATAAATAAGAGTGGAGACGCCAAAGTTATTGAACATGAAGATTCAGTTTTGTTGGAAAAATCGCGAAAGGTTTTAGAAGCCAAAGCCAAATTTTATGAACGCATGAACGCATCAGGTAAGTTGGTAAAGAATATTGCAAATGAATGAAATCAAAGGCAACTTCTCACTACATAAACAAAACTTTACCTACTTCATTGTAATTACTAAGAAAGTTATTTTAGTATCTTTTAGCTCTAGACTAATAAATTTAATAATCTATTGAAACGTTTTCAGGTGGTACCCTGAATTCCGATGATAATTGTTTAGTTTTGTTTAATAAGAAAAAGCAGGAGAAAGATAGTGAAGCAAATGTAGAGGATCAGCAAAACTTTGATGTCCTTGATGCAACGAGCAGTGAGAGTGAAGAAGATAATGACGAATCCATAGATTCAGACGACGAATGGGTAGAGTATACAGATTGTTTAGGGCGGACACGAAAATGTTTACGCAAAGATTTGGAGAATGCGAAACAAAAAGATGCTGATTTAGCAGCTAGCATACCTGAAAGATTGGATCAGACCAAAGCTAATTGGATGATTAATACTTTGGCAAATGAAAATGCCACTAAAGATGCTGATAATGACGGCATGAGCACAATTGGCCCATTACCGCCGCAATCTGTGTTCGGTGATGGCTGCTCGATGATGTCCAAGCACGAGGAACAGAAAGTTAATTGGGAGCGCAAAGAACAAGAGAATTTAGAAAAGAAAGACGTTCATTATCAAGACGTATTCTTTGATGAAGCTCGTCAGCATGGCGTTGGCTATTACGCGTTCTCTACAGACGAAGAAGAGCGTCGACGTCAGCAGAAGGAATTAGAAAAGACCCGCGAACAGACCATAGAAGAGCAGGATAGAAGAGAGGCTTTACGTGCTCAGCGAGAAAAAATTATAGCTGAGCGTGTTTTTGCGGCAAAGAACAGACAAAGGGCACGTCTAGGATTACCACCTTTGGAGGCAAATGCTGAGCTAGAGAAGGAGAAAAACGAACCTAAAGAAACGAAAGAAGAACGCAAATTGCGAAAACAGGCCAAAAAGCTAGCGAAGAAACAAGAAAAAGAGGAACAGGAACGCGAATATGAAAGACAACATCATATTAGGCCTTGGGATCGCAGCAAACATGGTATTCCTAAGAATTTGGTCGTAAATCAGCCTCAGGATGAAAAATGGTCTTATAAACCTGAACGTGAGCCTATGACGCAAGAACAATGGAATGAACACAAAAGGTCAGAGCGGATACAAGAATTTGCTCCACCTACAGAGGTACCATTCAAACGGAAAAGCTTTTCTTCTATACCCTCAACAGTGCCACCACGGCCTCCACCATCTTTGAGCCCTAATAGTTTAACGCCACATAATGAAGACATAGAGACTTTCATTAGCTACCAAAGCACTAAAAAATCTCCGAAATATTTTAAGAAACGTAATTACATCAATGACGAGAACGAAGCAGAGGATAGTCAAAGTGCTTCTAGCAAAGCTAGTGTCGACGATGAATGTCAGTATAAAGCAAAGAAAACAAAATCGTCCGAAAATCTTGAGCAATCGATAGAAGCTGGTTTGCGTTTTCTGCGTAATAATTATGATAAGCAAATGCCTACCTGTAAAAGCACTTGGACAGCAAAGGCAGATTATTAAGAATGTTCTTTTTTAACTTTCATTTAAAAATATATTACATAGAAATCGAATTATATATAATTGGATTCCTTATTATACTATTATTTTTCTCTCATACATAATAAATTATAAAAATATTGTGTTTGTGAAAATTAATTGAGATAACTGGTAGTGTCCGAAATAATGTTTTTTCTATGGATAAACCATCCCCATTAGCTGTAATCGCGTCTGTTGCTTGAAAATTTTTGGTTATGAAAAATTTACGCGGCCCACGCGAAATGAAAATGGCGTCTACATGCAATGGGACATGTTCATGGAAACATTTATAGTTCTTCGTTTCTCGTCGTTAATGGTCCAAACGGTCAAACTGGTTATAAGCCTTTAAAAATGTCCAAGTAAAATAAATAAATAAATAAATTGATATTTGCTAAATTTTCAAATTTTTGCTTCATTTGGTTTTTGTATATAATAAAGAAAATTTATTAAATCAGAGAATCTGATATGCTGCAGGTGTTTCTAGTAAAAAATTCCATGCAACATGATGACACACGTGTCAAATGTAAACAAAAACAAAATAAAAATGTTGCAGGGAGAATGTTTCTTAACTTTTGTTTACTTTTATTAAAACATATTGGATTTTATTTCCAGACACATTCTGGTTGGTTTTTGTTTACATTCAAAGAAAAATTTGTTGCTAATGTGCATTAACATCCCAGAATTTACATCATATTAAAAATAACTCTGAGCTGAACATATGCGACTTGTATAAATTAATAATAGTAAACTTATATAACAAAAAGGAAAAAAACAGGACTGCGTTTGTTTTAAGCGAATTCATATAACGTTACTTACCAACTTTGATTACTGGATGATTTTTATCAGCGAAACGACGAAAGGCTCAGAGACCCCATGAAGTATACACATCTTTGATCAGCATCAAATTCTGCACCTAGTTAAACATTTTTGTCTGTCCGTCCGTGTTTGCGTAAGTTTGTATAAACATTCCTCCGTTAGCGAGAATGAGAAAGGAATTGGAATTAACCTAAACTTTTCAAAGCACATGCCTACAACGCCCACATGACTCTACGACAGAAGCTTTTATTTTCAAAATAGTAGGTCTGAAATTTGCGACGTTTCTTAGTTAGTGTCCTTTCATGCCTCAAAATCATTGCCTCGTTGAAAAAATATCCTCTTCAAGTGTGAAAACGTCATCGTCATATTAATCGTTTTCGCCGTTTATGTCTACAATCCTATAGCGGCACCCACGTGTATGTTAACATCATCCAGATCGCAAAGGTGAAGATATCGTCTTCGGATTAGCAAGAGAACCTGCACAAAAGACACGCCTACAATGCTGCATAAACTGAGAACACTTCTGCTTTCTGCATTATTTATAAAAATACTTTGTATACCCTTTACCGATTAGTGAAAGATTCGAAAATTATTAAAAAAGATTTTCGTTGCAAATCAATTCTAAATAAATTAATGAGCAAATTATTCTCGTTTAAAAAAGTTATTTTTTATTAACGTGTTATAGTATGCCTTTTGGCACAATTTTATTTAAATAATTTACTTTTGGTAACTATTATAAATACTTTTTAATTAATAAATTGTTAATATAAAGTTATTGTGTAGTTTCAAGCTTTTCTTTATTTATTATGTAAAAAAACAATTGAATTCTGATAAAATCTGTTATGTTAACATTTGTGATTTATTGCATATATCGTATATGATATTGTACACCTAACCCTTTTTTTACACGGTTTTTTATTTACCAGCTTTTTGAAATGCCACGGTTCGTCAATAAGAGCAAATATCCTTTTCACACCAAGTTTTTGTTCTGGCACGAATCCTAAAAAAATTCTTTTATAATTTTAAATTTGAATACGAAGAATACCCGAACACAATTGTCTTTATCTCGTAACGCATCAACTTGAACACAGCATTACGTTTTTTTTATGTTCCAGTGTTCAGTTCGTGGGATGGAATCAATAAGTGCAATAAATTTGCAAAAATTGATCTTCACTTGCTGACGTTCCAGCCCGCAAAAACGTGCGCACTTGTTAACAAGTAGCGATGAATAATCGTAAAATTGATTTTTATTCCTAATTTCAATTGTTGTACTTATGGGCTGAATTTTCACTGTACTGTGTATCCTTTTTTTTTTTTTGTAATAAAAATGAATTATTTATGTCTTATCTTAATACTATTTCTTTTTGCACGGTTTTTTGGGAAAATATTTAGAGCTTTTCAAAGTCGCGCAACATATCCCTAAATTTACCGTATGTCGCATGTATTTTTTTACACGGTTTACTAAGGAATGCTTCCACCGTGTAAACAAGGAGTTGGGTGTATATATTTACCAAGTATTTAAAGGATCGAGAGAGAGACAGAGAGAAATAGAGGGGCGAGAGAGAGAGAGAGAAAGAGCTTTAATGATAATTAATGTATAGTATCGTGGACAATAGTTTTAGGAGCATCCGCGAGCATCTGCAAATCGTACATAGCTTGAGCAATAGGTAAAGGACGTCGCGGCCAATGGCGTGCTTGCGACAATGCCGTAGCGTTTGCTAAATTAGTTTGTAACGCAAGAATAGTAGGATAGATATGTTGCTCCACAAATTCGCCTATTGTGTACTGCCAAAGAATTAAAGTTTTTTTTTTTTATTTTGTTTTATTATCAATTTAGGCGAGGGAGTAAGCAAACTATTACTTACTTTATCATATATATGATACAATAATTGTTCCGCTTCTTTGGACAAGGTAATCAGTTCTTGTAGGAATAATTGTGTTTGTTCAGTTTTTGCTTTCACAATTAAAATCGAACTGAAATTATGTCTTAAGTTATACGTAGACATCCAAGCACTTTTATCTTGCACATGATGAAGATACATTTGTATTTCGGCGAGTTTATCGTATAGGCGGAGAGAAAATTGATAAAATTGACTGCCCAGATAAGAGCACGAAGAGAACAACTGGCTATGATGAGAATTGTTATGTAATTCAATCCACGGATGACCAGAGCGCCTAGAAAATTTCAAATTATTCTTTAAAGCAAATGATATAAGTTAACGCAAATGTAGTTTTTTTTTTCTGTCCAGCATTGGATATTTTTAATTAGTTTATTTTATGTATAGAAGAACGGATGAATTAATGAATGGTTGAGAAGGGAATTTTGGAATACTTTTGCTTTCCGTGAAATATTGCAGCTATGACTCTTTTTTCGCCATTGTTTGCATAAGAAAAAGTTTTAGGAGGTCAAGTGGTTTTGGTGAACAAAAATTATTCAACATTGGCGAGAACATGAAGCTTTCGCTTGTTATTGTTGCAGAAAGCTATAAAAAATGGAATCCTAGCTATATGAAGCTGTATGATTGGACTGATTGAAGATTAGGATGGTAAACGAAAGTTTCGCCTAAGGTCAGTGACATAAGCTTGAGGAAAATCGGGTGATTTCAAGGGTAATAGCAAAACGATTATCATTTGCTAGCTACTAATGCTATGAATAAAATATGAATAAACGAATATATTTTGCCTTTCATTATTTGTTTGTGATGACTGTTAGGTACCTACCTGCTATCCGGATGAAAGTAGCATTGTAGTACTTTCAATAAACCATTATCTTTGGGATTTGTACTGAAGTAACCTTTAGAGACGGTAGACAAAGTTGTTATTAAGCTGGGTATGGCGGCAGGTAGCAATTCGCACAATATGGCAAAATGATCATAGCGCTGCCAACCGGTTAAAACTAAACCTTGGAAGCCTTTTGAGAAGCGACCGCCCTCTTTATTCATCACAGCCAGCCAACGTATATTATTTTCCAAATGACGTTGCAAAGGAGGTATCATCAAACTTTCTCCCCATGCGCCCTTGAAGGCTGACGCCGCCCAAACCGTCGAGAAGACTTGAGCGTAACGCTCCCATAATGTAGGAGAGATGGAAGCATAAATATCCGTCGTATAAACCCAAATCATGGGCTGAACGTAATTGCCAATTAATGAAGTTTGAAGTTTTGTTAACGACATCGGTCGTAGCATGTCGTCCCAAATCAATACATTCAATTGCTGCCAATGACTGCGAATGAAATGAGCCATTGCCATAACATGATCGAGAAATATCTGATCTTTTAGTTTTACGCGACACAACGAGCATTCCGCGATACGATATACTTCGTCACAGCCAATATGGATATGAGTCATTTTCAAAGTAGTAGTGGATTCATTAACAAATTGCAGATGGAATTCGATAACTTGCCTTAAAAGTTCTTCCAAAAAGTCCATAGATTCCTTCCTGCTCGGACATATTGATTGAGGGCTTTCCGGAATTTCTCGCATGGCGGAAAATTCCTGCAATTTTAGCGCATACTCCAAATGGCCAAAAGTCTGAACTAAAGGCATAATAGTGAAACCATGTAAAGCGCATGTTTCCAAAAAATCCTATCCACAAATAAAGTAAAAGGGGAAGGGAAACATTTTCTTTTACTTGTATTTTTGTTTTCTTTTTTTTTTTTTTTGAAGACGATTAATTACTTTTAACTCCTCCTTTTTGTAAGCATTTGTAGCTGATAAATTAGCTAAGGGACCCTCGAAAGGAAACATGTCCTCGTATTCGATTAGTAAACCGGTGGCTCCTAGTGTTTTCAACATCGTCAAGAGTTGCTTTAAAAACGTGATCTGTTTTGGAAATGACAAAAGCGTTATGAGTAGCCATAGCGGGAAAGGAAATGAAATCACGATTACCTTGGCTGGCGCTCCTTTTAAATCCAAATGCACCAATCGTTCTTTAGGCGCTTTTCCTGTCTCCGGTCCGATTCCGGCTATTACTGGCACGCCCATGCGCTGTAGCTCATGCTCGTACTGTATTTGACGTTCTTCTGAGGTTAACGTGCGCGCCTCTTCATCTATCATTTGAATATCTTCCATGGCTGAATTTTTCGCGCGCTGTTGATTTTCTAAGATCCTCAAACGTTCCTCTTCAAAAAATAAGCTTTCACCGACTACTGGTGCCTTTTTCCGTCGCGCTACTAAAGATAAAGTCTGAGCCGAGGCCTCCTTAACAACAACGGCCGATCCAGACGAGTCCTTCGAGGCGATGTTTGTGCGCGTGGAAGGAGACAATAAATTCCTTTTTACCGATCTGGCTCTGTTCTGATGTGAGCTTAGAACACGATTAGCATCCGAAATAAGTTTTTGTAATACGAATAGATTTCGGTAACTTTGACTTTGATTGCTATCTTCTACTGCCTCATCGACACTCTAAAGCGATGGAATACAAAATCACTTATCAGAAGATCCAAGATCGAATCTTTAGGTTTTATACATACATTTGCTGATTTATAACTTTGAGGATATTTTTGGCTTGTTTCCAAGTATGCCCAAGACCACAGGCCCACTAATATAATACCTGAAGCGAGTAATGAAATCGATATTTTGCGGCGCCAAAACCAAATGATAATGATTTTAAACATCTGCAATACATTAAATTAAATTATAACATATACGCTAGGCAAAGTGGGATCTGAAAAATTGGGCAATATTTCAAGTTGCATTATTTAAGGTATATTGTGAACAAAAAGTACATTAGAACATTGTTGTGGACCACGGCCCGGTATTAAATTTCCTCCACCACTCTGCTTAATGAAGTTGTTCATATAAGACCGTATATTTTTGCATATAATCTGCACATCGAGTTCTTCTTAGGTAGAGCTAGGCCATGACTAGGTTTTACAAGACGCTGTCCTAACGAGGTCAACACAACAAAAAGGCTATAATGGAGTTTAATGAGAGCAATAGTTGAGTGTGCCTGCGTTGTGCGATTTCTTTCTTATATATAGATGCTGCGAAGATTACACAGAATCAATACTTGCTCTTCGTCCTTAGGAATTTGGATTGACACTCACTTGTCTCGTTTGCCTTCTTATGAAAACAGATTTGGTCCTTGGCTTTGGATGGGCGCAACAGGCAAAATGATTTGAGATAGACCCACCTTTTATTTCACCGATCGATTCGGAATCATTTTCTGAACTTTGTCTAAGCTCGTCTCTACGTCTTCGTATTCAGATTAAACTGCTTTTCACACTACTCCCCATATAAAATTTTATTCTCAAAGGTTGTTATATAAATAACCGTAATAATCGAAGTGGTGTAGGGTATTTAAAGTCGAGCTATAATGAATCATAGTGGTGTCCTTTTTTTTAGTTTGTCCTCCGAGTCAATTGGATTCGCCTCCTAATTTACTTTAGCTGAATTTCATATGTAAATAAATATAGGAAAACTTTCTAGAGCTCAAAGCATTATATGGCAAGTTGTCGAGAAAATGGTCCTATCCAAACTATTTTCAGTAGCTCTTGTCCTTACGTCAAAATACATCGGTGGGACGCATTTCATCAAAATATCTCAAATATTGCGATTTGTAGGGTGAACACAAAAATACACGGACAGAAAGACGAACAAGCTTGAATTCTGAATCGATTGGTTGAACAAAACCTAAACATATCTCAAGCCCCAACTAAGTTAACATATCTTTGTAGTCCAAGTAGTGTAGGGTGGAATGACCACTGCTAAGAAGAATATTATGCAATAAAAACGGCCGGTGGCTTCACCCTTACGTTCACCAGGCTGACCGCCTCCGATTTTCTGCTCTTTCTATTTTCCACTCCACGAGAGGCTGCAGCAAGCAACCATATCTAACATTCGTGTTGAAAGCTACAACTCCAGCGATGGGTTGTAATGAGTGATACTAATGATGCTGCGACTTATTTTAAATGCATACTCCGTACAGCCAGCTTAGATGGCACGAGAAGCATAACCTGTCGGTTTAAATTCTGCTTTTATTTTCTTGTTTTTTGCTCCCATTTGCAAACGTGATCTATATGGTTGCACTGAACGGATTGACTTTATAATAAACAATAAATTTTGTTTAATAAACAAAAACACACCCTCTCGAATACTTAGGAATCGTATTCCCAATCGCCGAGAAAACTTGACAGATGTAATATATCCTGGCACAACGAACAATTTACAGTCACTTTCGTCACTGTTGGACTCTAAGCAGTGAAAAGCTTATTTTACAGATTTTTTAATTTTGACATGAAATAGAAAGAAAGTAAAGAAAAAAGCATTGCAAGCAAAGTGTTTGTCTTTGTTGCTTAACAAAAATGTTGCTCATCATTATCATCATTAGTAGGAACATCATTGTTTTATTTATCACATGCCTGGCCGAACAATAAGATGCAAAACAAAACGATATATATATATGTGAGTGAATACAAATATATATGTTTGTACATTGTATTGCATTGCATTGCATAAATAAAGAGTTATAATAGTTAAGTTTGTTCCTTTTTTGTGTTTGTGTCGGACATTGTTCGAAGAGTAGGATAGGAGGATAGGAGGGGAAGGAAGCGATGCATGTATTTACGTTACATTAAAATACCGAGAGAATGAATCAGTGCACGTTATCGACCCAATCATCCGTGCACTTCGAAAGCACATAAAAACTTTTCAATGTAAATTTCAATTGCTTTCACATTATCGTTGAATGAATGAATGAATGAATGAATGCCTTTGCCCGGCTTGCCCCACGCACTACGAAAATCATGCTTTCCCTAATAAATACCCAGATTGTATACAACAATTTTCTTGTAAACATATTTTTTGTTATACTTTCGTCTCAAACACTTTTTTTGGCAAGCGGAAGCATGTTTTTAGATAATGTGAGCCCGTATTCAAATGATTTGTGCAAAGCGTGTATCGATATCGATTTCTAATTTCTTAGGTCACTTTTGTTTTTCCTCTTTTCTTGGCAGACATAAGGAAATTCGAATAGATCAAGAATGTATATGTACAGGTATCCGTCACCTAACACAGCTTTCAATACACGATGATTTCAAAAAACCGAATATTTGCATTTCTTTTCACTTTTTCGCTCATAAGAGGAGTTTCGGGTAAGACCGACCGACCAACATATACTTTTCCGTAGCACTTTGTCACTCGTTTTGATAATAATGGACTCAAAAATTCGAACGAACGGAACGAATTGATAGTGTTAGGGATGAATGGATCTGCATTTGAAAAGGGCTTGTTGCATGCGTTGAACCAGGTACGCATATGTGAGTAAAATTTTTGGAATTTATTTATTTATCTTGTCTAGGTTTGTTCTTTTGTCAATATTTGAAAATATTTTTTGTCTCCCTTTGTATTTTCGTCCCCCTTTGTATTTTCGTCCCCCTTTGTATTTTCGGTCTAAAAAGAAAGAGTCGATATATGCGATATATAGAATTTTGTATAGTTTTACATAAACGTTTGAAACAATTGTTCGTTGCATTTAAGATACCTTCGAAACATGGTTCTTGAAGGTCGCAATACTTCTTTTTGCGAAGAACGTCTTTGACGTTCAGTTACAAACGCGCGTCTTTTTCTGTCAGATAGGAACTGGCTGATTAATTGGCTTTTTTTTGCGTCACGAGAAGTAATCTGTTCACCGAGAAGATGTTTAAGAACTCGGACTGTCATGCAACGGCGTTTGTTCCGTTTTTCTTATTTCATCAAAGAGTTCCGGCATCAAATGCTTGTGCAGCATAGCAATTGATCGTTTTACGCTGCTTAGTTTCCGGCTGGGCATGCCCAGTAAATCGTATCTACGTTTTTTGATACCGTTAAGCATTTGTTGGCAGCAATCAACACTGGAATCATTTCGAGCTCTTGCTCTTGGGGCATTAGTGACAAAAAACCCATTTTCCGTATATTTATCGTCGGCGTATCCTTTTTAATTAAGTTAATAAATGGCGCTATAGATTCGCCGACATTGCCTGCAGAGACAAACTTGAATGTCCCGAACCCTTTCTCTGCGAACTTTACTTTCTTAGAGCTTAGTCAATGTAAGTATAATTACGAGCTTTTCAACTCCGTTGGAGTCCTTTGCAAAAATCTAAGTAATTCCTTTAGTTTAGTCTCAATATCGGATGCATTCAAAACTATCGAATCAAGCCTCGTAAATACACGCGCTCCGCCTATGCCCTATCTAGGTTAGCTTCTAATCTACATTTTTTCGCGAGTGCTGGTGTGCCTCTGTGCTACATGAACAGCTATGCATTAGTTTTGTTTTTTCTCTTGTTTATTTTTATTTATGTATTTTGCATGTTTGCAATGGCTTGCGGCTTCACCTCTCACATGGATTTGCGCCCGTTATGAGTGTGCCTCTGTGCGAGATGCGTGTGCATGTGCATGCGTCGTTCTTTTTCTTCGTTTATTTATACATGAATTTTCTTCTTTCCCTTTTCCTTTAAGTACTTTCTTTTTGCTCGTTATTGATATCACTTAGCATAAGATTTGCTTCTAAGAGCCAATTAAGTTCGGCTTATTAATCCATGTTCGTTGCAATTTATGTGTAAATAAAATGAATGGTCAGACAATATTTTATGTATGCGTGGTGGCCTAGCACTGCTTCGGTCTCACTCTATGCCGCATATCCAATTCGCGTTCTTGGTTTTTGCATAGCGTCAATGTGTCGTGCTGCAATGACTGGGAGCGACTTGGGCGACTTTCACTGATGAACGAACGGCCCTATGCCAGCTTTTCACAGTGGCAAAGGTTAGTGAATCATATTAGCAAAAGTGAAAGTGAGTCGATTTACGTTTGCTAATTGCTTAGATAATCCAGATAGGTGGAAAGTCATCGCTAGGAAAATTTCACACTTATCACAAAAAGTCCTGAAGAGCGGTACGGTCAAATGTGTCAAAATTTTTAGTGGAAACTTCAAATCGCGCCTAACAACTATGAAATAAAAATAGTGACCTATGTACTACCATTACCGGCTGCCATTTCTGTTTGGAAAACTCGAATCCTTGAGAATTTGAACCAGAATTGTGAAATTCTGAGTGTATTCACTCGTAACAAAGAAGAAGACTATAATGTGGCACAGTCCACCATTAAATACCCTACCTCACCCTAGAGTTATTCACTTTTGAAAATAATGTCTTATGCAGGACCCGATTCAAATTATTTTCAAGAAGGCGTTCGCCCTCATCGTCGTCGAAAGCTTTCAAAAACTGCGGTCTGTGGACAATCAAGGCAGCTAGATGGAGAAACGGACATGCAGACTTAAATCGATTCAGAAAATGATTCGGAATCGAATATAATATAACCTTGTCCAATAAGTGACTCGTTCTGCTAATTTCTTAATTTCCGTTGGAAAATACTTGTATGGCTTCATGATGTCTTTGCTAGTTTAACTCGAATTTATCTTCCCACCCTTTGCAAATAATTAGATAGTAGGATATTTGAAAGAATATTTGAAAGAATCTCAGGTGTTTGCGCATTTCTTTTATTTTTTAGTGAGTTAGTGAAAGAAAAAAAGTGACTGCTTGCGCGTCGTCCATCAGCCAGAGATAAAAAAAGATCTTCTTTTTCATTAAATTTTGATTTGTTTTTCTTTTGCTTTTTCTATAATGTTTCAGCTGACTAGTTT